CCTGGCCCACCTCACTGCCTCTTCCCCCATCGGGCCTGGAGCTTGCTCCATCAAGCTGGAACCAAAAAAAAACCAAAGAAATTGAGATTACGGATGTCCGACAGCAGCTCAGGAACTCAGGTTATCTGTGTGTCATCAGTAAGTGCTCTTACTCAATAAAGGTTTTATAGGAAACCATCCCAAATTTCTTAAATCCATTTTTAATCCCAAAAAATAGGGATTAAATTAAATAGATCTCCAATAGCAGGCACTCAAGTTATCTGTGTGTCATCAATAAATGCTCTACTTCAATCAGGGATTTATAGGAGACCATCTCAAATTTTCTAAATAAATTTTTAATCCCAAAAAAAATAGAGATTACACATCTCCAACAGTAGGCACTCAAGTTATCTCTGTATCATCAATAAATGCACTAATTCAATCCAGGACTTATAGGAGACCATCCCTAATTGTTTTAATCTTTAATCCCAAAAAATAGGGATTACAGATCTCCAATAGCAGCTCAGGAACTCAGGTTATCTGTGTATCATCAATAAATGCTCTAATTCAGTACAGGATTTATAGGAAACCATCCCGAATTTCTTAAATCAATTTTAATCCCAAAAAATAGGGATTACACATCTCCAACAGTAGGCATTCAAGTTATCTGTGTATCATTAATAAATGCTCTAATTCAATTCAGGATTTATAGGAAACCATCCCAAATTTTGTAAATAAATTTTTAATCCCAAAGAAATAGGGATTAAAAAAATAGGGATTACAGATCTCCAACAGCAGGCACTCAAGTTATCTGTGTATCATCAATAAATGCACTAATTCAGTCAGGGATTGACAGGAACCATCCCGAATTTCTTAAATCCGTTTTTAATCCCAAAAAATTGAGATTACAGATCTCTAATAGCAGGCACTCAAATTCTCTGAGTGTCATCAATAAATGCTCCAATTTAGACATGGATTTATAGGAAACCATCTCAAAATTTTTAAATAAATTTTTAATCCCAAAAAATTGAGATTACAGATCTCCAACAGCAGCTCAGGAACTCAGGTTATCTGTGTATCATCAATAAGTGCTCTATTCAATAAAGGTTTTATAGGAAACCATCCCAAATTTCTTAAATCAATTTTTAATCCCAAAAAAATAGGGATAACAGATCTTTAATAGAAGGCACTCAAGTTCTCTGTGTATCATTAATAAATGCTCTAATTCAGTCCAGGATTTATAGGAGACCATCCCAAATTTCTTAAATCCATTTTTAATCCCAAAAAATAGGGATTAAATTGTATAGATCTCCAATAGCAGGCACTTAAATCCATTTTTAATCCCAAAAAATAGGGATTAAATTAAATAGATCTCCAATAGCAGGCACTTAAATCCATTTTTAATCCCAAAAAATAGGGATTAANTGAACATTTACATCTCATTGTTTTCCCATTAAAACCACGGCATGATGAAGTTGTGTCAATGCAGAGGAAATGCAATGAATGCAGCCCAAGCAGTGCCACTCACTGTGATCATCAGGTGCTTGGTGACAAGGACACCCAGGGGCTGCTGCTCAGGATGGGGACTCCCAGCACATGGGAAATGCTGAGCACGCTCTGCTTTCCTGCCCCTGTCCAAATTCTGTCTCCCACCCTCTTTGATTCTGGGCACTTTTTGGCAGTGAATATTTACATCTCCATTGTTTTCCCATTAAAACCACTGGCATGACAAAGTTATGTCAATGCAGAGGAAATGCAGTGAATGCAGTGCCACTCACCGTGGCCATCAGGTGCTCAGTGAGAAGGACACCCAGGAGCTGCTGTTGCTGCACAGGATGGGGACTCCCAGGACATGGAAAATGCTCATTTCTGCCCCCCTCTCCAAATTCTCCCATCCCCTTTGATTCTGGGCACTTTTTGACAGTGAATATTTACATCTCCATTGTTTCCCATTAAAACCATGGCATCAGGAAATTGCAGAGGAGATGCAGTGAATGCAGTGCCACTCACTGTGGCCATCAGGGGCTCGGTGACAGCGGCCACCTCCGGCTGCCGCTGCTGCTGCACAGGATGGAGACTCCAAGGAGATGGAGAATGCTGAGCACACTCTGCTTTCCTTCCCCCTCTCCAAATTCTGTCTCCCACCCTCTTTGATTCTGGGCAATTTTGGCAGTGAATATTTACATCTCCAATTTTTCCCCATTAAAACCATGGCATGACAAAGTTGCTGTCAATGCAGAGGAAATGCAATGAAAGCAGTGCCACTCACTGTGGCCATCAGGTGCTCGGTGACAATGACACCCAGGACATGGAAAATGCTCAGCACGCTCTGCTTTCCTGCCCCTGTCTCCCATCCCCTTTGATTCTGGGCACTTTTTAGCAGTGAATATTTACATCTCCACTTTTTTCCCATGAAAACCATGGCATGATGAAGTTGCAGAGGAAATGCAATGACAGCAGTGCCACTCACCGTGGTCATCAGGTGCTCGGTGACAGCGGCCACCTCGGGCTGCTGCTGCTGCTCAGGATGGGGACTCCCAGCACATGGAAAATGCTCAGCACACTCTGCTTTCCTGCCCCCCTCTCCAAATTCTCCCATCCCCTTTGATTCTGGGCACTTTTTGGCAGTGAATATTTACATCTCCATTGTTTTCCCATTAAAACCTTGGCATGACAAAGTTGTGTCAATGCTGAGGAAATGCAATGAAAGCAGTGCCACTCACTGTGGCCATCAGGGGCTCGGTGACAAGGACACCCAGGACATGGAAAATGCTGAGCACGCTCTGCTTTCCTGCCCCTGTCTCCCATCCCCTTTGATTCTGGGCAATTTTGGCAGTGAATATTTACATCTCCATCGTTTTTCCATGAAAACCATGGTATCAGGAAATTGCAGAGGAAATGCAATGAATGCAGTGCCACTCACCGTGGCCATCAGGTGCTCGGTGACAAGGACACGCAGGGGCTGCTGCTGCTGCACAGGATGGGGACTCCAAGCACATGGACAATGCTCAGCACGCTCTGCTTTCCTGCCCCCCTCTCCAAATTCTCCCATCCCCTTTGATTCTGGGCACTTTTTGGCAGTGAATATTTACATCTCCATTTAATTTTTTTCCATTAAAATCATGGAATGATGAAGTTGTGTCAATGCAGAGGAAATGCAATGAATGCAGTGCCACTCACTGTGGTCATCAGGTGCTCGGTGACAGCGGCCACCTCCGGCTGCCGCTGCTGCTGCTCAGGATGGGGACTCCCAGCACATGGACAATGCTCAGCACGCTCTGCTTTCCTGCCCCCCACTCCCTTTGTTGCTGGGCACTTTTTGGCAGTGAATATTTACATTTCCATTGNACACAAATCATTCCAGGAGGAGCTGGAACTGGGACATTTCATTTCCCAGGATTGTGTTTGGATTATGTCAGGTTTTCATTTTAAACTGGAATATTCATAATTTTCTGCCCTGTGGTATTTCATTGCTTTCTGATAAAACTGCTCACATAGCTTTCCCCTCCAGGAGAGCATTCATTTATGGGTCAGGTTTTCCAAGAATTCGTACTTGGGTGTCAGATTTGATGGGAAATAACTTTTGGATGCAAAAGCTACTGAGTGGAGAGTGAGAAATAATTTGGTTCCTTTTCCCAAGAAAGGGCAGCACCACAATGAGAAATGAAGAAACTCATGTTTGAAACAATTAAACCGGGACACAAATCATTCCAGGAGGAGCTGGGGTTGGGACATTTCATTTCCCAGGATTGTGTCTGGATTATGCCAGGTGTCATTTTAAACTGGAATATTCATCATTTTCTGCCCTGTGGTATTTCATTGCTTTCTGACAGAACTGCACACACTGCAGCTTTCCTCTCCAGGAGAGCAGACATTTATGGCTCAGGTTTTCCAAGAATTGATACCTGGGTGTCAGATTTGATGGGAAATAACCTTTGGATTCAAAAGCTACTGAGTGGAGAGTGAGAAATAATTTGGTTCCTTTTCCCAAGAAAGGGCAGCACCAAAATGAGAAATGAAGAAACTCATGTTTGAAACAATTAAACCTGGACACAAATCATTCCAGGAGGAGCTGGAGTTGGGACATTTCATTTTCCAGGATTGTGTCTGGATTATGCACCAGGTTTTCATTTTAAACTGGAATATTCGTAATTTTCTGCCCTGTGGTATTTCATTGCTTTCTGATAGAACTGCTCACATTGCAGCTTTCCTCTCCAGGAGAGCAGTCATTTGTGGCTCAGGTTTTCCAAAAACTGGTACTTGGGTGTCACATTCAAAGGGAAATAATCTTTGGATGCAAAAGCTACTGAGTGGAGAGTGAGAAATAATTTGCCTCCTCTTCCTGAGAAAGGGCAGCACCAAAATGAGAAATGAAGAAACTCATGTTTTAAACAATTAAACCTGGACACAAATCATTCCAGGAGGAGCTGGAACTGGGACATTTTATTTTCCAGGATTGTGTTTGGATTATGCCAGGTGTGGAATATTTGTAATTTTCTGCCCTGTGGTATTTCATTGCTTTCTGATAAAACTGCTCACACTGCAGCTTTCCCCTCAAGGAGAGCAGTCATTTGTGGCTCAGGTTTTCCAAGAATTGATACTTGGGTGTCACATTCAATGGGAAATAACCTTTGGATGCAAAAGCTACTGAGTGGAGAGTGAGAAATAA